CACATCTTTTAGAGTGACTATTATCAAAAGACAAATTCAATGAATTCATTGGGGATATGGAGAAAGAGAACTTTGTACACTGTTGTTGGAAATCTAAATTCGTACAGTTAGTATAGAAGGCAGTATGGAGGTTACCAAAATGACTACATTTGGCACTTGAAATTTGATAAAAGTATAAAATTTAAATGTCCTAACCATAAAATAACAAATAAGGATCATAGTCATTATCTAAGTTGATGAATTTGTTAATTATTTCAATTGTGATCACCATATATACATATATGAAAACATCAAGTTTTACTCCTTAGGTAGATGTGATTCCTCTTTTTAAATTATATACAAATAAAGCTGAAGAAAAATTAAAAGCAGTAAAAACAGTTAATGTTACTACAAATATGACACTTTTCAATGAAATTTGACATTTCTTTGTAGTTATTTTTGCTTGTAGAATATATTCCAGTGGGGATTGACAGTTTGATTGTGTTTGAAATTCACAATGACTGCCTAATTTGTACATGATTTGAAAAAGTTAGTAATACTTTGGCTGTCAAATTATAGTTTAGCTCTTTATTACTGGATATGCATTCCCTATAATTGACTTCATTTGAGACGGAGGGCAATGTGCATTGTGGCCCCATGTACTATTCTGGTGAATATTTCATGAATATTTACAGATATATAGAATAAACTCATATGTATTTTCTCTTTCCCTTTTCCTGTTAGAGTATTTATTCTAGGTATTGGCCTATTTGAAAGTACATGATACAAAAGACTGCAACTTTTTTACAGGCAAACCAGGTTTTGTCTACATTTCATTTAAATTTTCAATGACTTGTTTTGAAATCAATTTCCTCATCTCTGATTGTGAGTTCAGACATCATTTGAAAAGGCATAGATCAAATTATATAATCACAAAATTCATCTATATTGTTGAGCATGATTCTATGTATACCTTTGATGTTCTTATTAATTTTACAAAATATTAGAAATCATTTTCAGCATTTTCATACATGCATATAAAATATTCTGATTATTCTATTCTCTTATACCTTCCTTTATATTCAAAGGTCAGTATTTCATTATTTTATATTATTTTATTATATTTTTTATTTTCTTGACCCAGGATCTCACTACAGAGTCCAGGTTGATCTCAAACTCATGATGATCTTCCTGCCTCTGCCTCCTGAGTGTTGGGATTACAGGCATGCATCACCCTGCCTTGTATCCCTAGGTCATGAGTTTAGTAAGAAAGCTATATATTTCATTTGTGCTCAGACGGGATTTTTCCTTTTCTGTGGTTGGATCTGAAGTTGTTTAATTATGGTGTTGCTTCCAGAGGGTGTGTCACGGTAGATCTCTTTCTACACAGTTATTATTCTGCTGGCATCTCTGGAGGTGGAGTCTGCCCTCAGCCTTATGGGTAGGATCCCAAAGAGTTTAATTAAGGAAACTCTGCCTTTGAGTTGCAGTTACTGAAATGCAGTGATGCTTCAACAACATATGTTGTGGTTCCAATACAGATAAAGTGTCCAAAGAGCTTTGCCTCAGAGAACCTGTCTACACTGGAACTCACATAACTGCTTTTTTAGGAATTGCAATGATAGACACAAAGCGTGGTCAGATAAGGATTAAATATTTCACCATCCTTCAGTGAACATTAAATTGAAGCATAGTGTATGTAGCCAAGCCAGTATACTGTACTGGGAATCCAAATATTTTAAAGTCTCTTTTAGTATTTTACTTTCAGTATTTCACTTTCAGTATTTCACTTTCAGTGAATAAAACACAAATTGCCAAGATGTATCTTAAAAATTCATGATTCTTTCCTTCATGAAATTTAGAGGTTTTAAACTAACTTTTTCAAATTTTTAAATACTTGGTTGTTAGTGCAGATTTTGCCAACAATGAAGATTTTGCAATTCTTTGTTTATAATGAAGATTCAGATTTCTTCATGTTACACTACATTCTTAATATTCATTTTAAAATTGCAAAAATTTAAAATGTAACTTATTTCTGAAAGATTGATAAACCAGCCTTTCTGCAAACATGGAAAGAATAGGTCAGTGGAAACACCTCAATGTGCAGGGGTGGTGCATGCGTGATTTTTCTCTCTGTGTTCCTAGGGAGCAATGGGTGCATGAGCTGCGATCATTCAGGACCAAGGAGAGAGCGCCAAATTCTACAATTTAGAGGGGATGACAGCCCCTTAGTCAGGTAAACCAGTAGGAGTATTTCTTTGGCAGATTCTGAACTAGGCTTTACATTATGAAAGTACAGTACTTTGGTGATATAAGAACTCATAATCTTTTAAAAGTTCTCTGCGATTCTGATAAAGAATTGTATCAGGGGTTCTTTGTAATTGCCAGAATATTTGGACATTGGTTCCAAACTTTAATGCTTTTCTTGGATATTTTTATATCAGAAAAATCCAAAAGAAATTTACCTGCTCTAACATGCATCTTCTCACGAACTAATTTCAAGTGTAACTATTTGGGAGATTCGGTGGGTAGGTGTTTGTTAATCTCCCAATGGAACCCACGTGCTTAACTTCTAAGCATTGTTTAGAATGTTCAAAATGCTATGATGATGTGGCGTCTGCAGAAGCTGAATGAGTGAGTGACTTTAGAGAGCACAGTTTCATATTTGAGTAAGCAAGCTTTTATTTTCATAAAATGTAATCGTGGGTAAGTAAGAGGAGGACTCAGTTTGGCCACTGGACTTAGTAAATGGAAGGGCATTTTATAAGACGAGCAGAGACTTGAAGGCGGGGTGCTTGCTTGAAAGTGATATGGGGTCAAAGGACAGGTTGTTTTAACACTGATGTGTACAGCACAAATACTGAGAAATACTGTATAAATATGTGGACAGAATGGTGCAATGTAAGAAAGAAAGTTGGTGATGTATGAAATGGAAAGGAACTTAGAGGAGCAGTGTTCTGAAGACTTATAAAGAAGAAAAAGTCTACTTCATGAACAGAACCAGAGCCCATAGTTAGGAATACCAGTAATCACTTTTGTGAAGGGGAAGCAGGACAGAATTCATGAAGTCATATTGAAGTAAGCACTCACAGACACTTAGAGAGTAGCTGTTATTACTAGGATTATTTTAAGAGGAAACTGGGCTAGTGAATTTTGATCCTGTTTATGGTATAATTTCCCCCCCCCGTGGGAAATTTTCCTGCCTCCCTGTCTGCCTGCTTCCCTGCCTGTCTGTCTGTCTGTCTATCACTGTTCTGCATGCTGTCTCTGTCTTCTTCTTTTCACTCCACTTCCTCTCCTCTCCTCCGCACTTCTTCCATCCTCTCCTCTCTTCTTCCCATTCCTTCCTTTCTCTTTCCCTTCC